AAAAATGATCCCGTATCTATATTGTTAATAAAGCCGAAGGATAGTTCGAAAGATATGCTCAGTTGTTGGTGCGCCTCATTTGTACCAGCCAGCCAGGAAATACCTCAGCATGAAGCAAAAACAGCATCCAAGAGCCTGTTAGAACAGAAAACAAACAAGTTCATGAATGTTAGGTTACTTAGGTATTACAGCTCAGGTGCTAATATATTGCATTTATCATTCAATTTTGCCATTAATCAAGCATTCAATGTTACGCAATGTAAGATGATTACTACAGAGTTACTGTATATAATGCCAGGTGATTATTATACAACTTTACTAATTTCGACAAAATGTTAAAGAGAAATATCATTGCAGATTCATGATACTGGGTACACAAAAGAAATGCCAAAAGGATTATCTCGTCATCTGTGTCTTAAAGTCAGATGCGCCCCATGCAAAACACATGCAAAAGCACATATGCACGCTCTTCTTGCATGTTTTTCAAAGTTAAGAACTATTTGGATTTGAAAGTGCTGGCAGGCATTGCCCCAGATACTTCACTGAATTAATGCAAACCAAAGACATTAAAAGATTCCATTCACCTGAACAACGAGAAGATGGATGCAGAGTGACATCTCGGACTTCCTGCCAAATATTCTCAAGTAGAAATTAACAAGTGTTCCATCATTTGTTCCCGTCAGCAGTCCAGTCTCAGGATCGAACCTGAGAAGTAAAAGATATTGAAGATACCAATAAGCATTCGGCATGGTCCCCAGAGCATTGATCTGACGCAATGGTAATAAAAAAGTTACCTTGGCAGACGATGCCTGGGACATTTGACATAGCCTGAGAGCTGACAAATTAAACTTGCATATTAGATGCCTTAACATATCCAACAGATTTCTGAAAATTTACAAACAAGGCAAGGATGGTGGGAATAAGAGAGGAGTCTATCGGATCAAACCTGTGGAAGTGATAAGAGAAAGTTTATCACTTGGGGCAGAAAAAATATCAGGAGAGTTTCACTGCAAAAAAAAACAATAGCATATAACACATTTTAACATTAATCAGAACTTCCTTGAAAATTCATAAGTTATACATAAAATGAGAGAACTATTTATTGCTAAAACATTTTAGCAGGGAAGTAACAAAGTTAAAATTATGTTGACAATTTTACGTAAAGATTTTTATACTCGTCAGAATAGGTACTTTTTAATTCTTTCTGAAAAAGGAACTGAAGTATTATCTCTATCAAGCTCAGAAGGCTTTTCCCGCTGATCTCCAAAAATATTCTAATGAAAGTATTAAAACACACCTGAAATGCGCTAAGATCCCGACTACAGCCATGGTCATTCCCGCAAAGTATGTGTATGTATCTCCAACAAATACAGATGATGGATACCTGGCAAATAGAGCGGAAAAGAAATATTTACTTTTTGAACTTAATAAACAAGGAAAAGAACTAAAAAACCAGCTTAATATATCTTACCAATTGTAAGAAAGTAATGCCAGAGAAGTGGCAAGTAAGGGCTGAGTAAGATAAACAGAGAATGCATGAGCCTGTTTCTGTTCCATATCTCCAGAT